CTCTCATACCCAGTTGGACAATCGTAAAGAGAAGGTAAGAGTGTGAGGATTGTATTTAATTAGCTCATTTTAAACTATTTCTTGCAATCTGACATCAAAACTATATTTTATGTTTTGCAGTCTCATCCCGGTGGTCTTTTGTTTACAAAGTTTGGTTTTAACCAAACCGCTTTGCTTGATCTTGCTTTTCCGGTATGCCAGTTGCCATCATCTTCTACCATTTTTTTTCCTTTGTTGTGTTTATGGGCATGTATCTTGTTCTTTTTATGTGTGTATCCTATTACTGAGTCCATTTTTACCCACTTATATTATGATTATCATCATCATCTGCAATCATGTTTTATTCTGTTTTACAATTATGCAAAAAGTGCATAAATTTCTTTGCTGTGCGTCGCATGAGAGCATTTCATTAGTTTTTATTCTATAACTATATTATTTTCGGAATAACTTAATTTCCTATCTGTTTGCTGGATGATTTGTGTTTTAACTTCATCTCTCTATCTCTCTCAAATGCAAATGTACACAAATTCCTTAAGGTCAATTGAAACAATCCGAGGATGGGGCTCCATTCCTGTTGAAATATGAAATTCACCCGTATTTTGTTATAATGTAGGATCACATCCAGTAGATCAGCGTGCAATTTTTTCCTAGTGGTAGTCTGGAACTATTGCTGTCAACGTTTATTCACAAGTTGTTACCTGCTTGTTCATAGATGATAGTAATTTTGCCTTAAAAATTAAGATGACACATTTATTGCTGGTGTTCAGGATAACCTTGGTAGGCTGCATGATAGGAGCAAAGAAACTCCTAAAACTATGAAGCAACTCACTCGGATTTTCCCCAACAAGGTGATGATACAGCTGCCTCAGGTAATGATCCTTTTTCTTATATATATATGGTCATTTTGCTATTTGCTATTGCTTGAATGATGTAGTATTTTTGGCTATCCTGGTAGGATGAAGCTTTACTTTCGGACTGGAAGCAGCAGTTGGAACGTGATGTTGAAACTTTGAAAGCACAGTCAAATATTATTAGCATTCGCTCAGTGAGTACATCTGATCACATTTCTATTTCTTCCTTTATGCTGGTGGTGGTTTTGTCTTGAAAATATGTTTCTACATGTACAATTTTATTGATTCAAACTCTGGACTGTTTTTGACTTTCTTGCAGTGTATGTAGTTTTCTCTTGTATACTGTTCACACACTCTTGTGCACGTATTCAAACACATGAATATGAAGATGGATGCACATGTGTTTGCTAACATGCATCTGCATACAGTGATTCAGTTCCCTGATAATACGTCTTATAACTTATTTTTACTTAGCTTTTAGTGGCTAATAGTGTGTTTTACTGTTTGCTATTTTGGTTCTTGATATTTACATAAAGCATTATAATTTCAGGTTCTTAACCGTATTCGTCTGGATTGCCCTGACCTTGAAAATCTGTGCATCAAAGATCTTGCTCTTACAACTGAGAGTGAGTTTTCTTAAACTAAAATCTTGTAACGTAGAACATTTTGCAGGGAGTCTTGACTGGAATATTCACTTATGCTTTTTATATCGTTTTTTCACCAGGTGTTGAGAAAGTAGTAGGCTGGGCCTTAAGTTACCATTCTATGCATTGTTCCGAGGCTGTGGTTAAAGATGACAAACTCGTTATTTCTAGTGAAAGGTTGTACTGTGTTTTATTACAGTATACTTTAGATGTACTGCCTATTCTCTTCTTCTAATGATATTCATTATGTTTTTATGATGCAGTCTTCAGTATGGACTGAACATTTTACAAGGCATTCAGAATGAAAACAAGAGCATAAAGAAATCACTCAAGGTATGCAGATTGTTTACTGTAGAACTACCTATAAATGCTTTGCTCTTTCTGCTCTCTGAGGATGCAAGGAAAATTTGATTTTTTTTTCCTTCTTATGATCAAGAATTTTAGTGTATTTGTACTGGACTTGACTTCACGAGAGTTTGCAGGATGTGGTTACAGGAAACGAATTTGAAAAAAAACTTCTTGCTGATGTAATTCCACCGAGTGATATTGGGGTTACTTTTGATGACATCGGGGCCTTGGAAAATGTGAAGGACACCCTAAAGGAGTTGGTGATGCTTCCTCTTCAAAGGCCTGAATTGTTTAGCAAAGGACAGCTGACTAAGGTAGAAGCATGACCTTTTTATGTCTGTGTTTCCTTTCTCCCCTGTGGAAAGTGAAAATCTTAGTTAATGCTTCTTCTGCTTGTTTGTCTTTTGATTATCGTTACTTTTTCTACAGCCTTGCAAAGGAATCTTGCTGTTTGGTCCTCCGGGTACTGGAAAGACAATGCTTGCAAAGGCTGTTGCAACTGAAGCTGGTGCAAACTTTATTAACATATCAATGTCGAGTATTACTTCAAAGGTATTTGTTGATATTGTGGTTGCTGGATGTTTATTTCGTGAGATTTCTTGAATCCATATGACACCTTTTAACTTTCGTTGCAGTGGTTTGGGGAAGGAGAGAAGTATGTTAAAGCAGTGTTCTCTTTAGCAAGTAAAATTGCTCCTAGTGTTGTTTTTGTTGATGAGGTTGGTGCAATACATCTATATATTTGTGCTATGTCCAGGGGACTTGTTCTTTCTCCCCATTTTCCTTGAGTTTTTCTCATTGGAAAATTTTATTTATACAAAGAGTTTTGCTGAACTGTTTTATAAGCTGACATGGTGAGTGAGTTCGCCCCACTCATTAGTATACACCTAAAATGCACCAATGTGTTTGGCAGGCCACTAGTGGATTTTGAAGTGGCCTTGTCATGAAAGATGCCATGCCAGTTTAGAAGAGAATTATGGATTCTTTTTGTTGTTTTTGTTTCAATCAATTTTCTTCTATGCAAATGATTCTTATTTACGGCTACTGTTGTAGGTTGACAGCATGTTAGGAAGGCGTGAAAACCCTGGGGAACATGAGGCTATGCGTAAAATGAAAAATGAGTTCATGGTGAACTGGGATGGTCTGCGTACAAAGGATAAAGAACGTGTATTGGTACTTGCTGCTACTAATAGGCCTTTTGATCTTGATGAGGCTGTTATTAGGAGGCTTCCAAGGAGGTAAAATCGTATGTTTTTGCCTTTACTACATCTGTTATATGTCAATGCAAGTTTCATTAACTTCCTATGTACGATATTAATTTGTGTGCAGATTGATGGTGAACTTGCCAGATGCCCCAAACAGAGAGAAAATACTGAGAGTCATACTAGCCAAAGAAGATTTTGAACCTGATGTTGATTTGGAAGCAGTTGCAAATATGACGGATGGGTATTCTGGAAGTGACCTAAAGGTTGCCTACTAATTTTTCTGAGACCATATATGCTCCTTAGATATATTGTCTTCGATTTTTTCCTTCCAAAAATTTTATGTAATAGATTGTCTTGATTTCTTTTGTGGTTGCAGAACCTGTGTGTTACTGCAGCTCACCGCCCCATTCGAGAAATTTTAGAGAGAGAAAAAAAGGTTGGTTTTCTGAAAGTAACATTTGATTTTTTGAACTTTGAAGTGGTGTGGTTGGTTATAAGTTTTCTTTCTCCACATATCTCAGGAGAGAAGTTTAGCTGTGGTGGAGAACAGACCTCAACCTGAGTTGTATTGTAGTTCCGACATCCGCCCTTTGAAGATGGAGGATTTTAAACATGCGCATGAGCAGGTATGTTTTAGGCTTTTTGGTTGTTGCAGTGTTTACCTGCGGTGTTTTGTCTTGGAACTTTGGTTGTTTAATATTGAACTCAATGCCACCAGGTATGTGCAAGTGTATCGTCAGAGTCGACAAATATGAGCGAGCTCCTCCAATGGAATGACCTATATGGAGAAGGTGGATCCAGAAAGAAGAAATCTCTCAGCTATTTTATGTAGAATAGATATTCTTTTTTTTTTCCTTTTGTTTTTTTCCTGCGTGTATAGAAGTCCTTCGTCCTGCTTAAAGAGGCGTGGCAAGATGGGATCTTACTTAGATATCCATTGAAATCCCATTGCAGGTCATGTTCCCATTTGTATGATATATATAGGTTTTTTTTTTCTTACCTTTTCTTTTAATTTACTTTTAACATGTATGTTAGGAATGTCGTTTCTCAATTCATATTATTCAGTTACCTGACTAGCCTTTTCTCTTTGCTATTAGGCCTTTTGCCTGCACATACTACTAAATGAGCAATGGAAAACCCATTTACAATTCTTTTTGGGGCTGGACAACCTTTTGTCTGCTTATTTACCATCTTCATACATAATTGTATCGGAAGCGGTCAAAAAACATCAAGTGAAAGAGAAATAGTTATCAATGGACCAGCCTGTTAACACCATTCTGATACTGTTATGAGGTGCGGTAATTTGATCAATTGCAGAGTTATTAATAGACGGCTGAATTTAACTTTCAAGTCAATGAACCCGTGGTCAATTTGATTTATTTTTAAAATAAAAAATAGGGTCCGGCATTAACAACCGACGACTTCTGGGCAGTCACTGTGTGCGGTGAGAGGTTGAACAAGGTTTCTTCTTTCTGTTTATAGCTCGTAGGTCTGACGGTGGATGACATGTTGATATATTTTTGTTCTTTCTAATTATTCTTATTAATTATAAAATTGATGAACTGTAACCCAAAGTGATGTCTCTCTGGAAAAGACCAGGAGATAAATATTTTAAAAGAAGTCAAAATGGATAAAATTGCCCTTATTTATTTTTGAATTTTCTAAGAAATTCTTTATAGAGAAAAATTTTAAAAGAAGCAAAAATGGACGAAAATGCCCTTTTTTATTTTTAGATTTCCTAAGGAATCCAATACATTTGCATGTCTTTGGTTTGAAAGTTGAGAGGTTTTTTTGTCTTTTTATAAAAAGCTTTGGTTTTTTTTTAAAATGAAATTTTTTTTATAACTAAAATCTAAATTTAGGTATATGGTCAAATTAGCATTCGACTGAATGGTCCACGTCCACCTCCGTCTTTGACTTATTAATCCCCACGCCTTTATTATTTATTTTTATTTTTATTGCATTCGTCTGCATTCAACCGAATTCAATTCAATTCAAACTGAAGAACCTCAAAACCAAACCAACAGAAAAAAAGAAGCCAATAAGCGAGCAAGTGACCGCCATGGAGCTCATGTCTCATTCCTCAACCTTTCTCCTCCCTACGATCCCACCGTCTCCAACCTGTGCGCTTGTGGTGCTTAACCAGAGCCTCCCGAGATTTGCCCCTCTTCTATGGAAGCACGGTACTTGTTCCTGCACCTGCACCTTCACCTTTATTTTCTCTTTCCAGTTTTCACCTTTTCAATTTGTTTCTCTGAGCATTTTGTGGTGCGTGTTTGTTTAGAGCAGCACAACTACGTTTGTGTGCCGACGGCGGAGCAAATCGCGTTTACGATGACATGCCTCTTCTGTTGCCTCACGAAAACGCTTTCGATGTTCGGAAAAGGTTTTTATTTTCTTATTTTTTGCTCTAAAGTATGGTCTCTTATTGGTTCGATCCTTCCGCTGTTAGTTTAGTTGTCAAAGTTGATTCTTTAAGGAAGTTGTTCCTTTTCCAGACCGCTTTTTGTTGTTTGAAGCAATTTTTGCTTATTTACTTAATTATTCCCCTTTAAATTTAAGCCTTGGCGCAGCTTACTTTATAATTTCTAGTGTTTTTTGTTTAATTATCGAATAATTGGTGGGGTATTGACTGGAAGACATGAATGGAGTTTGATTGACCTTTGCACTATAAATGGAACAAATCTCTTCCTGAAAAGTGATTAGATGACCTTTGCATCTACTTTTGATACAAAGTGCTGATTTTTGTTCCAGGTACAAGCCTGACGTTATTAAAGGTGACATGGACTCAATCCGAAAGGAAGTCTTGGAATTTTATGCTAGTATGGTAAGTGAGCTTGTTTGAACACCAATCTTCTGCATAATTCTCGATATCTTTAGCTATCATTCTTGTTTTCATATTTGGAAAACTTGAGGAAGTGATTGATGACGTTGTCCTTTAGAGTTATTTGGAAGATGATTCACCACCCTATATATGAATAACGTCATAGGGACTGATTTTTTCTATGCATTTTATATGTTGTTGCGGTACTATTGCTCCTCGATTTGCATACATGTGGTGCTCTGGTGTTTTCTCAGGGTGTCTGTGTTTGCTATTTGAATGCAGGGAACCAAGATAATTGATGAATCTGATGATCAGGATACCACCGATCTACATAAGTGTGTAGCATATATATGTGACTGGGCACCAGACCTAGATAAATCCAATGTAAGTTGCATGTTATAATCGCTCATAAATTCTTTTTATTACTCCTGTTTTGAACTTACGCTGAATTTCTAGGCGCTTTAGTTAAACTTGCCGTAACCAAACACTGTCCTCGCAACTTATTTGGAATTGAGTATTCAAATTGATTTTTTCCAGATATTGACACTACTAAATTGATTGCTAGTATAGTATGTCTCTCATATTTGTATAGTAGCTGAGTTTCTTCTCGATGTATTTCCAGCTATGCATTCTGGTTGCTGGGGCACTTGGTGGACGGTTTGACCATGAGATTGGAAACATCAATGTGTTATGTCGATTCTCAACCATTAGAATAATTCTTATATCTGATGATTGCCTCATCCATCTTCTTCCAAGGACACACCACCATGAGATTCATATTCAACCCACCGTTGAAGGCCCTCACTGTGGACTTATACCCATTGGGATGCCATCTGGAAGTACTACAACCACCGGGCTTCAATGGGATCTTGGTGAGTATTTCTTAAGTCATAAGGCTAGTAAATGCTTGCTTTTATTGGGAAGACCTAAGAGAATGTCCTTAGAAAATACTTGTCTGCTCACCACTGTTGCATGTCACCTACTCCTGTTCTTCCCTTCTTAAACATGACCAAAAGGGGAAAGACTACCTAAGTGTTGATTTCATTGTTCATGTGCTGGGTGGTCTAATAACCCCCTGTAAGGTACAAGTGTGGCCAGACTACCCAAGTATTTTGAATGGGAGCCATGTGTGTAACTCACTAAAACTTTCTGTTCTCTACTGCACTTACAGTTTGTATCCCTATTGGGACTTGGGTTGAGGGCTTTCTTCTTGGGTGTGGTATGACAGGGATGCCACAGGGTGAAATTTTCTGTATCTGTTGTTCGTAGCTATGCAATTTGTTACGGGAATCTAACTCAATCTTGCTTTTCCTGTCCAGCTGAAACAGAGATGAAGTTTGGTGGTTTAATCAGTACTTCAAATATTGTCAAAGGAGAGAAAATCACCGTACAATCTGATTCAGATCTTCTTTGGACTATAAACATTAAAAAGCTGTAGTGCAGTTAGAGATGAGGTGCACAAGCCACAGATCACGCAATCTTTTCGTGCGTTTCCAGGGTTCCTTTTATACGTGTACGCTAGGTATTCGTTGTTTAAACTCCATCCAATCAGTTTGTATTTTTGTAATTATTCCAAATAAGGGTATCTTTGTTCTGTCAAAGATGCTGGATTTCTCAGCATCAAGTTGTTTATATTTCCTTTTCATTCTTCGGTTTAGAAACAAATCCGAATTATATTCTTTTCAACGAACAGTGAACAGGCAAAAGTTCCGTTGGAAATGGTTCTGTTACAGATGGCTATTGCCCATGTTAATTACAGGGATGATCATTGAAACCCAGCCTCCATCACCATGCATTGTGCTGCATCTTTTGATGCCAAGTTTTGTACGATTAAGGAAATCAGTTAAGATTAAGATTTTGGGAAAATTAATTTTGATCCCTTCCAATGTCAAAAAGAAAAAGAAAAAGAAAAAGGTTACCGGAATTCCTTTTATCACTATTCAACAAGTTGAGAAAAGTTTAAAAATAAAAATAAAAATACCGGCTACGCCGCTTAAGAGAGACTTAGACGGTAGCTTCGCCAGCATAAATACCGATACCGTCACCATTCAACGGTTCCGCTTCAGTTTTGGCGGCAAAATCGCTAAGGGTTTTAATATTTCCCACTCAGAATCAAGAACGAGCATTTTTCCAGTGAATTTCTAGCCAGAACAGTGTCGTATCCATGAGCTGAAGTTTGAGGTTTATGAATTAGGGTTTCAATGGAAGCAACAACTCCATCCGATTCTCCAACCATAAAACCTATAAACAAGGGCGTGGTGCACAGAATCTGCGCCGGCCAAGTGATTCTAGACCTCTCGGCCGCCGTGAAAGAATTGGTCGAGAACAGCCTCGACGCTGGCGCCACCAGCATCGAAATCGCTCTTAAAGACTACGGCAAAGAGTGGTTCCAAGTCATCGACAATGGCTGTGGCATTTCGCCGAACAACTTCAAGGTCCTTGCCCTCAGGCATCACACTTCCAAACTGGTCGGTTTCCCTGACCTCCAGTCTCTGACCACGTTCGGGTTCCGAGGCGAGGCCTTGAGTTCTCTGTGTGCGTTGGGGAATTTGACAGTGGAAACCAGGACGAAGAATGAGCCCGTTGCCACGCACTTGACTTTTGACCATTCGGGTTTATTGGTCGCCGAAAAGAAGACGGCCCGGCAAGTCGGGACTACCGTCACTGTGAAGAGCTTGTTTTCGAATTTACCAGTGCGGTGCAAGGAATTTGGTCGCAACATTCGGAAGGAGTACGGAAAGCTTGTTTCCTTACTGAATGTGCGTGAGTTATAACAGAACACATTGGCCTTTCTTTATTGTTATGTTATATTGAATTTTAGTCTATCAAATCTTATATCATTTCTTATGATATTTGAATTTTAGGCCTATGCCCTTATTGCGAAAGGAGTTCGTATCGTCTGCACCAATGCCACCGGTAAAAATGTGAAGTCTGTGGTACTTAAAACACAAGGAAGTGGTTCCCTTAAGGATAACATTGTGACACTTTTCGGTATGAGCACGTTCAATTGCTTAGAACCTGTGAGTATATCTGTTTCTGAAAGTTGCAAGGTTGATGGTTTTCTTTCCAAGTCTGGACAGGGTAGTGGGCGAAATATGGGAGATAGGCAGTTCTTTTTTGTGAATGGTAGACCAGTGGATATGCCTAAAGTTACCAAGCTTGTGAATGAGTTATATAGAGGAGCAAACTCCCAGCAGCATCCCATTGCAATAATGAATTTTAATGTTCCAACAAGAGCCTGCGATGTGAATGTAACTCCTGATAAAAGGAAAGTGTTCTTTTCTGATGAAAGCTCCATACTGATTGCCCTAAGGGAGGGTCTGCAGCAGATATATTCTCCAAATAATGCTCGTTTCTCTGTGAATAAAGTTGAGGAGCCTGCTAAGGAACCAGGTAGGTCTGAGTTGTGTTCTCCTCGTCAAAAGTCTCATAAGTTTCTGAAACAATCATCTACGGATGACAGTGTTCCTGAAGAAGCGGGCATCCCCACCCCGGAGGGTTTGCAACAGAGATACTCTCCAAGTAATGCTCATTACTCTGTTAATGAAGTCGAGGAGGAGCCTACTATGGAAGCAGGTAGGTCTGAGTTCTGTTTCCGTCGTCAAATGTCTCGTATGCTTCCAAGACAGGTATCTTCAGATGACAGTGTTCCCGAAGAAGTTCATGTTGAGGATCAGATTGCAGAGGGCAATGCTCCTCTGAAAGCTCTTGAAACTGACTCTGAGTGCACTCATGATGCAGAAGGGTCGAGCCACGGAAATTCAATGGGAAAAGACTTCGCTTTAAAGGTCCACAGCATTAAGAAGGTCGATGGTAGTACGCAATTGATAAGACATAGCAATAGGATGGCAACTGATCGAACCCATTCTCTTTCAACCATCGTTGAGAATGGAAATTCATTTAGTCGTTCAAACTGTGTTCAATCATCGCTTAACCAATTTGTAACTGTAAATAAAAGAAAGCATGAAAATATTAGTACAATGCTATCTGAAATGCCTGTCCTAAGGAACCAAGCTCTTCAAACTCAATCCAAGAATAGCACCTTTGATTTGCTTGTCGCTGTTTCAAAATCTCCAGTTAAACATCACCAGGCTGATGATTCTGCTGAGGTTGATAATTGTGCTGAAGTTGATGGGAATGTGCCATCCAAGTATCTGAGAGCAGACAAGATCCTCAATAAAATCAGATGTCCAGTTTCTTCTGGAGGCAACTCTAAAGATGAAGAACTTGAAGAGGTAAGTGGGTTTATACCAAATTTTATAAACTTGTTTGCTTTGAGCTTAACATGTACAAGACTAACAAGTTTCTCTTTAGTTAATATTAAAATCATTGAAAGCTAAGGAAGTTAATGTCTGGTGTTTTATGGCCCTAGAAGGTGCCATCATGTCCTCCTTGTGTCATAAATTTGAAGGTTATTTTACACCTTCCAAAGTAAAGGTTTGGCTACTTTGAGAATTATGGTATATTTGTATCCTATCAAAAAAAGAAGGAATATTTGTAGAAAATATGTAGAAAAATTATGAAATCACTAAACCAATACCAATGCAGATTAGCTGCCTTTAGTTCAGCTTTTAGGCAGAAAAATTTGTATGATATCTTCATCAGATATGGTTGTGCATGACAATTCTTGTTAGATTTGAGGAAAAAATAACTCTTTCTTAGGCCCTCTTTAAACTGTGACGATGACTTCGGTATGCTTATGTTACCCTTCAGTTTTCTTGCTCCCAACTGAAGTTTAAACTTTTTGGTGTCCAACTTGACTATTTTTCATTACAGGATTTACAAGCTCAACAGAAAGCAGACCCTCTTTCTAATATGGCATCAACTGCTTCACCTAGCAGGGATCTTAAAAGTTTGTCTGAAGATCTTCCTGTTGCAGCTCCATCACCTTCTTGTATACTGTCAGACACTCCAAAGCCAAAGCCTTCTTCTGGTCTTATGATGCATTCCACGTTGCAATTTAGTTTTCAAGAGCTAAAGACAAGGAGGCAGCAGAGATTGTCTAGATTGCAATCAAGCATGCCTGGAGGAGTAAAAGCACAAAGGTTTCAGAGTGATAACTTTTGAAGGTGGCAAAATATTTTTACGTTCTGTTTTTGATGGGATTGATTTGTATGGCCATTGACAGGTGCTATGCTGCTGCAACATTGGAGCTTTCTCAACCAGAAAACGAGGAGCGCAAAGCCAGGGCTTTAGCTGCAGCCACTACTGAGTTGGAAAGACTTTTTAGGAAGCAAGATTTTGGTAGAATGAAGGTAGTTGTTTGCATTAACTCCTCTTTTATGCACTTCTGTGCTATTACTAAAATCAGCTTTCCTTGACTGGATGATGTTATCATTTCTTATTTTCTCTTTTCATTCTACTTTTGCCCTTCTTTTTTAATTTCTAAACCTCTGTGATCATGCTTTAGTTGCAATCTGACCCTTTCGATGGACATATGCATGTTTTCACCTGCCTGAGATGTAGTTTTGGAGGCTGTGGGTTTGTTGGGTTAGACTATTTGATCCATAGCGGGACGGGACAGGACAGTCTAAGAAGCATATCTACCCCCACCAAAAATCATAAACACTACGATTACCTACTAAATTTACTGCATGCATGCTTGGGATTTCTCATTATGTTTAACTGGTGCTGACCTCCAGTTGCTTCCCAATTCTTAGGTGATTGGACAGTTCAATCTTGGCTTCATCATTGGGAAGTTAGATCAAGATTTATTTATTGTGGATCAGGTATTTATCATCAGCTTCAGAATTAGTTTTATGTTGGGTGATGCATTCTTGTTATTTCTTCCTTCTTCTAATTTTTGCACTGTGTTAACTTATATACCTAAGTGAAAAATGGTACTTGATATTGTCTTTTCTCTTTCCAGCATGCAGCTGATGAGAAGTACAATTTTGAGCGTCTGTCACAATCTACCATCTTAAACCAACAGCCTTTGCTTCGGTGAGTTATATTTTTTGATTACCTCTATTGGGTATATCCTTATCCCTCAGGATATACGATGTTTGACCTCAAATAGAAAAGAATGTAGGATTATTTCTGCAGTGGGCTAAATTATTGAATAGGTCATCTCTGTCAAACCATCTATGCATCTAAGAAAAAATCTATAGTGAGTCACCTAATATTTGGCATATGATGATTTTAATTTTTTGGTGTTTTGCAGCATCACATTAGTAACGGTTTCAAATGATCCTTCCTTGCGATTTCTTATATTGGTCCCACTGCTTTTGAATTCACACATTATTTTTCAATGTCAATCTTTGGGATAAGGAAAACCAATCTGTACACATTATTTTTCAATGTCACTTTTCTTTTCCATTCCTTCTATGATTCTTGTTCTGCTTATGCAAAGGATTTGTTCCCTCTTTAAATCAGAGATCAAGTTCTGAAAGTTCACTTCCACATTTGAGTATGTAGGCCATTGAGGTTGGAGTTATCTCCTCAAGAAGAAGTGGTAGCTTCCATGCACATAGACATAATCAGGTGCAAACTCTGTCCAACTATTTTCTTTTGTGCATATCTTTATTCATTAATAAAAAAAGTTTATTTTCGTGGACTCTGGTTCCAATCTTAGGAAAAATGGATTTTCTTTGGAAGAGGATCCACATGCTCCACCTGGGCACCATTTCAAATTGAAAGCTGTCCCCTTCAGTAAAAACATAACTTTTGGAGTTGAAGGTACCGCTTGTTTGGAAATCTTCCATGTTGTTAATTGTAGAATAGTGTAACATAACAGTCTCCATGAATATAATATTTGAAATGTTTAGTTCGAGAGTCTGGGAGTGACTGATTAGCAATGGAGTCTGGGAATGTAACTAATATGTGCATTTGAATGTCCAGATGTTAAGGACCTCATTTCCACTCTTGCTGATAGTCATGGGGAATGCTCAATCATTGGTAGTTATAAGATGGACACTGTTGATTCTGTTTGCCCATCTAGAGTTCGCGCAATGCTGGCATCACGCGCTTGCAGATCATCCGTTATGATTGGAGATGCCCTTGGAAGAAATGAGATGCAGAGGGTAACAACCTTTAATATAACTTTGCATTACTGTTGATCCTCCACCTGATTCGTAACCACCAACCCAGCTCTTCCAGCCCTTTTTAGTGAAGCATAGCTGTAGACTATGAGAAATTTACTAATGCTGAAGCCCTGATATCCTTGTGAGTTGGTTTGAAACGGTCACATCTTCTGACTTAATCCCCCTGTTTCAGATTCTGGAGCACTTGGCAGGTCTGAAGTCTCCGTGGAATTGCCCGCATGGCAGACCAACTATGCGCCATTTGGTTGACTTGAAAACCATTAGAAGGTCGGAAGAAGACGATGATGCAGACTCTTGATGGAACTTACCGGAACCTGGACTGACCTCCTTATGGTCACTAACTTATTTTGTACCAAAAAATACTGGGGCTCGTGCACATATTAGTGTCATCTATTGTACTTCAGGGGCTGGAACTCTTGGTTCTCTTCACATATTTTGATTTCCCCTGTTACTAAACTAAAACGCCATTATGGCATTTGGTTGATACTCCCGCAATCAGAATTTGGACCTTTTCGTGCCTTATTTATCCATATATCTTATAATTCGTAAATAAATACAAGGGTGGAATGGGGGAAGCCAAAATATAAAAAAGGATGTAACATTTGATATATTTTTTTTATATAAAAAAGAGAGGATATAATATTTGATATAAAAAAAAGGATGTAATATATAAAACAGAGGGAAAAATAAATTGTGTACGGAATACAGACACTTATTTAACCATTGGGCAACGGTTGAACCCAAAAAAAAAAGTAAAAATAAATGAAACCCTTTTTAAACCTTTAAGTAAGAGAAAGAGAAGGGAGATAAAGGCCACTTCTCTCTTGTTTTAACTTGTATAGAAAGCCCGCTCCATACTCATAAGAGAGAATAGAGGGTCGTTGGGAGCGGAAGCAAACCGCGGAAACGTTCCTTCCTCGCGATCCAAAGCTGTTTACTGGTAATCTTCTGCGCTCTTCAGCTAGGGTTTCCTTACCGTATCCTCTTTTTGGCTAAGAACAACGCCTTTTCCAATTTCAAATTTTTTAGGGTTTCTTTTCTTTTCTTTTCTTTTTTCGTTTCTAAAATTCTCACTGACTTTGGTTGCAGGTCTCTTTGGTTATTTTAGTCTGCTTTCTGAGCCCTTAAAGATGGTATGTTTCTCTTTCAAATTATTTGTTCTACCGTTTGTTTGGTTTCTCAGAAAACGGAGGAAACTAAACGGTGTATAACCGTGCCTTTTTTTTTAATAATAAAATTCGAATAATGAAATCAAATGAAATTTTAGGACTTCGTTTTCCTTTCTTGTTTTGAGCTTTTAATTACGTTTTTCCTTTTCACCATTGCAGCTCCCTCTATCTTTGCTGAAGACTGCCCAAGGGCACCCCATGGTAAGATCTTTACCTCTTTTGTGGTAGTTCCAGACTCAGAATCACTATTTAACATAGTACGATGTTTGGATTGTCCATTGAGATTTTAATTTGAAGTTTTTCTTTGCTATAACAGCTGGTTGAATTGAAAAATGGGGAGACCTACAATGGCCATTTGGTCAACTGCGACACTTGGATGAACATCCATCTTCGAGAAGTCATTTGTACCTCCAAAGTGAGTCTATATCTTGTATTCTTGAAGTTGGCTGGACTTGAAAATTTAAATTAATTCTTATATAAGAGACTCATTTAGTTTTATTGGAATACTGTGTAGGATGGAGACAGGTTTTGGAGAATGCCTGAATGTTACATCCGTGGGAATACGATAAAGTATCTTAGAGTTCCTGATGAGGTATGCATTGATGTTTCTACGGCTTTATTGTCTTTAGTAAGGGAGCACATCTCAGGATCTAACATAACCAGTTTTGGAGTATGGTTCATGGATACAATTCTTATCTCCCAAAAAATAAAAGGCCTGAATGAAATTTACATTATACTTTGTGGGGGACCCATGTGGAACTTTATAAAATCCTTTGACAGAACCTTGTTACGTTTTGGTTGATTATGTCTACCATTGGAAAATGGTAACACATGCAATAGGAGTTTTTACTTAAGCATTCTTCCAGTTATTTGCCCTGATTTTTTTCGAATGCTTTAGAAGCCTATCGGAATGATCTAGTTCTGTTGCTTTTGTATTTCAGGTGATAGACAAAGTTCAAGAAGAGACCAAGAGCCGTTCAGGTATGATAATGATGTTTTACTTTGCGAAGGCAGGTTTTTTTTTATTCTCCCTCCCTCCATCCAAAGTTGGAAAAAAGATTTCTTGGAGCATTCTCTATATATCTGCTCTCAACATTGGACAAACTATTTATGTTTATTTGCAAGGATAAAGCTTTATGCATTGAGATAAGTAGAAATTGCTCTAACTTTATGCGGTTTGATAAACTTCTCCAGATAGGAAACCACCTGGAGTAGGACGTGGAAGAGGAAGAGGAGGTAGGGAGGATGGTCCTGGTGGACGTCAGGCAAAAGGCATTGGACGTGGCCTAGATGATGGTGGTTCTAAGGGTGCTGGTGGAGGCCGAGGCAGAGGTGGACCAGGTGGGAAGGCCGGTGGAGGCAGAGGTAAACATGTTTGCCCATGTTTCCCCCTTTTGTACTCTAGGAAGAAAATAGAGTTCAATTGTCATATAAGTTGATCCTTTGTTGGGGTGATTACTTTATGAGTACAAGCACCATGCAATTTTGGATCTTTTTGTCACAAACTCTCTCCAGGGATGACAGCTTAGCTTAAAGTTGTGAATTTCTGCTGGCACAAGGCTTATTTTCTTGTTTTTTCTGTCAGGTGGAGGACGAGGACGAGCGTGATTATGCTTATAATGTGAAAAGAGCTTCGATGGGCGAGTTGCTACTTTTAAAGGCATTTTGGCCCAACTCTCATGTGAAATGTCTGGGGTTTTTTTGGTTGTGATGCTTCTTATTATGGTAGTGCGATTTAGATGGCATGGTTCTTTCGCTCCAATGTAGCCGATGTGTCTGTTTCCTCTGGTGGGCTTGAAAATTTTATCTTGACAATGTTATCATATTTTTGCACTTATTACTCTGTCCGTTGCTCCCTCTTTCCGTTTTTTTCTTCCTAAGGTTCCTCAGTCATGCAAACTCGTTCAGACACAACATAATTTATCTTCACAATCCAATAGTATAGCCTACTCTGGTGAAACTAATTGAATCATGCTCAAATGTGCTGACTTATAAAACCTTGAAAGTCATTGTAAATGGTGGATAGATAATACAAATATGGTACAGAAATTTCAGTAACTAGGAAACTTTGATCCTTACAATTTTTTTAAAAATAAATAAAATTACAGGAAAAGCAAATAAACTTTATAATTAGAAAAATTTAAGTCGTTTTCCTAGTAGGGATGATGCCTTATTGTGTGGCGGGTCCTTGGTGATCTCAAAACCAGTGTGCTTGAAATCCATGATCGGTTTATCTCAGGAGAATTATCGGATGACCAACAACATAAGCGGCCATCTTCTCCACCAGTCCATCCAAAAATGCCATTGCCTTGACCTTGGCTGGACCTGCCCGGCATGCTTGACATGGGTAACACACTTCGAACAATACCTGTATGTCCACCTCCAAGAACTGCTTCAGGGGACCCTATAGCTCTCGTTCCTCTATAACTTACAGGAAAGTAACCCAAAGTGCCAGTATTCGTGCCACCAATTACCCATAATTGTTCTGCTTCTCTCGCGTAGTGGCAATCAACAAAATAATCAACCTGCCAGAAAAAGTTCAATTGACTTGGCTAAAAGTAGAAGCATTTTTTTTTCATGCTAAAATGATATTTGGTTGGGAAATTGTGTACGAACTGAGTTTATCCATGTCCTCCAAATTAATGGCATACAAGATACATTTCAAATATGAATCTGTTGGACAGAACAACTTACATCATCCAGTGTCCAGCAGTCAGAAGCCAAAGAACGAGCATCCTTGAAATTTGTTTCACTTCCATCTTTCCAGTCCCAGATACTACATGAGTGAAAAGAGAGTAAAATATCTGCATCTTGCAGGTTACAAGTTGGGGGAGAAAACAGAGTAAAACATAAGCATCACATGCAAATATTTGAAATCAAATGCGAAGACAGCTGTTCAAAGCTCTTAACTTCAAGCCTGTTTCCCGAGTTGGTCTACTGATGGTGAAAGATGCAAATCACTAGACAATCCACTATGATTACAATTTACAAGACCAAAGTCTAACAGTAGTAAATTCATGATTAAATTATAGAAAGAGGTACCTTAAGGTTTCAATATGGGTCAAACACCAAAGCTTTTGATACGTCTCTCCAAAAAACCCAACCTTCCCAACTGAAGTTCCCACATTAAGCACCTAGGTTATTGAGAAGGTAAATTATTATGACAAGCTTGAACTATAAATTTTGAAACTCTACAAACTTGAACTTACTGATTCCAGATGATCATCATCATTGATATCCCCATCTGTATCAAATACACATATCAATCCATCGACAGAAGCAGAAAGAAGCTTGCTTTGATGGTCAGGAATGAAGTGAACCTATGGAAAACATAAAAGTTAAATATTCTGCTCTGCGCTGTCGCATAAGCACACCCGTTACAATGCAACTTGGTGAAAGATTAAAGTCACAACAGCTAAAGCTAAACTACCCAATCCATGATACAAGTATATGGTCAAATGTTGCAAGTGACAATTGCCAAGAGTACCAGTCTACATGTAAATGAAATCAGACAGGAAATCCCAGCATAATTTACCAGGCCATCCAAATGCTGTGACGGTCAGGAACCCATGGATACAAGATTGGATGAGTAAATGGCTGAAACAAACAGCTCATGCATTAGAACCAACCTGGGTAACATCTTCTACATGAGAGTCCTCCAGGCATGCGACTTGTTTATCATTCCTCCAATCCCAGAATAGTATCTGATATAGCAAGTCATACAGCAAGAAGGGAGAAAACAAATTATATGGAGTCCATCGAAATAAGCAAGGATAAGCAAACATAAGCATATGGACTTAAAATAGTTTTCCATCCAATCAGTTTCAGAAGACTAAAGAGTGAATGTGAAACATTGAGTGGATTATCCTCTGGAATTTTAGAACAAAAACTAACATACACTCTTCCTTCAATGTGGACAAAATGGTGGAAGCAATGATTTCTGCTAAAATCTTAATCAAATAATGAATGGAGACACCAAGCGTGATCAAAACTCTTACAATAAATGCAGCACCTGAGTGTTACATCCGGCAGCAAGAAGATTGTTAGCTGATCCTCCAAATGAAAAGCTGAAAATCTCTTGAGAAGAACCAGAATGAAAAGAAGACACCTGCAGCATTAACAATAAAACAAAAACAAATCAAGAACATAAAAATATGTCCAGACACAGAGGTACCAGTTTATGTATGCAATTAGAGAAATGAACCTGTTGGAATGTGCGGGTGTCCCAAGCTCTAATGGTTCCGTCAGAAGAACATGAATGCAAGACATGAGGAGTTGAAGGACCTGAGAAAGAGATGTGGTTGATAGTTGCAGAGTGGCCCTTGCACTCTCCATAGTACTGACCTGTCACTGGTGAGTACACCTTCACTGCGTTCGTTGACAGAGACACCGCCATTGCTGTCCAATCATCCCTTCCACCAAAAGCCCACAAAAAATTCAAACCCAATAATCATATGACCCAATTTAATCAACTATGTTTGGGTTCAGGGAAAATTTATGAAAAGGAAGAAATTGAAGTGTTTAGCTTAAAGTGGGAAGTGCGAGCTGCATAACACAATTGAAATGTCGAATTGTTTGTTTGGTGGGTTTTATTAGCAGAGTCAATAATTCAATTCTGTGACAGATTTTCAGGATTTTCGTGGGAACCAAACAGAAAGTAAAGGAATATATTTTGAAGCAAGAAGCTAAAACAAAGATTTTACTTGAAGATAATGCTTCCTTCTGAGCACATCTCTCCTTTGTGAACAGCAGATTAAGCAAAACATTGTAGCTTGTTATTTGGAATGCATCTTTCTTGGCATTAAAAGGAATTGCAAAGCTATATAGATGTTAATGTTTTGGCTTGGTCTTGCACATTGCACAGATAGTGAAGTTAGCTTTGAAAATTTGGTATATTAAAGCAGAGTTGGAAAAGCGAGAAGGGTAAGAGACAGAGAGGAGGCGGATTTGATTAGGTAGGAGTGGATGTATAGATCATGACCATTGCTATAAATTGAACTTCTAATTGATTTAGTTAAGTTACATACAAAGAATTTGTTAAATATGCATGCTACCAACTACAATAAAAAAATGAACGAAAAAGACGCAACCTCAAGACTAATCAACAAAACTTAACTTAAATATCCTACTGTGAACCTAAGTTCCTACTATGAATCCACCATAGGAGATTAGTGAAAGAGTTTCCATCATCAAAACCCTTCAAGCTCTTAATCTTCTCCAAAGCACCATCCTTATCGTAAATCCCTTGCAAGGCATAGACAAAACCCTCCCATCCTTCCTCAACTCCTTCTCTACTCAGGGCTGGCAATGCCCATTCCACAATTTCCTTAGCAAAGCCATCATCAGAGAACAAGATCTCAGTGATTGGGGATATGGGCAGCAACTGAATTCCAAGCCTCATTTCTTTTGCCTCTTGAGGAGCAAACCAAAGTCCACTGTCTCTCTTGTTTGCCCATAAAATTCCCACAATCCTATTTTCCTTTGTGAACTCTTCCTCATATAGTGTATCTCCTTCTCTTACATGCCACCACATTTGAGCTGCTTGAATTTCCAGAGCTGTAAGCATTGATCCACTGTTGAAAAGATTGGTGTCTCCATAAGCTAAGCCCATCAATGCAGCTGAGTAGTAAGCATTCACTGCCTCACTTGTGCTCTCTTGGTCCCTTCCATCTCCAAATTCAGTCAGTCCTCCAGCCCATGAGTGTAGTTTGTACAAATCAAAGCATCTCAACCGAGGAAAGTTTGAATTCGATTGGTTGCCCATGTTGATGAAATCTGCTGCAAGAGAGTAAGCTTGAGGCTTGTACTTGCTCCCCCATGCACGGTCAATCTTTGCAAGCACTGAAATACCATAAACAAAATATCCAAGATGATAATGGTGATCATTATAAACTCCAAACCCAAAATCTGCACCGCGATCGGTTGATCCTTGTTGGGTGACAAGTCCACCCCATTTAGGATCATACAGAAAACCATTCCCACTAAAAGTACCATCCAACCATGGCTCAATGGCATCCGCCAAGTATTTCCTAATTGCTGGAACCACATCAAGACAATTCACCTCCTCGGCAATTAAAGCCAACCTTGCTGCTCTGGCAACCAATTTCCCATAAAAGTAAGACGAAGCAGTTGTTATTGGCGTCGAACTAAGAGCCTTAACATCACGACGAAGCGCAGAAACAATTTCAGGGTATGAGGCTTGTTTGACACCTCCAATTGAGTGCCAAGTGACTGATACATTATGAGATTTCAACTCCCACAAATTGCCAACGATACCAACCAGATCACCATCAATGCTCTTGTACTTGAAATCCTCCAAAACAGTAGCGTTAGACAGAAGCTGAAGATGGAGAGGATGAGCTAGCATAAGCAAATCTCCCCGTCCATACTTTTCCCATTTATATTCCAGAGTGAATGGCTTTGTGAACACAGCTTCACCAGAAACAGGGTAAGCAGAACTAAATCGGTCAAGGATTGCTGTGTATTTTGGATCAGAACTTGGCACCAATGCAATCCGAATATTCCCAGAATAGCCATCAAAAGTTAAGGTTGATGGGCTGCTTCTAGTCAAATTAGTTGGGGAGGAGGTGTACATAACCCACGTTTGATTGTTGTCAAGCTGGACGGTGAACTTGGTCTTTGAGTTGCTCGAATAGGATTTGAGGATTGCATGAATGGTTGAGATAGAAACCGCAGTAGGGCTAGACACATTGCAGGTGACATAGGGACTTCCTCGAGCGAGGAAAAAACGAAGGTTGGAGGAGGGAAAGTCCAAGGTGACACTGAGATCAGTGAAGGCAGAGATTACGCGGCTGCTGTTATTTGTTGTAGCTAAGTTGGCGCTGGTTTGGGAGGCAGAGATGGTGAGATCAGGGACAAAGGTTTGGGAGATGAAAGCAGAGGTGGAGGAGAGAGATGGGTAGGAGAGAGAGAGAGAGGATGAGGAGGAGTTGATGCTGTAGGGGTGGAAGTACTCGGGTTTGTCACCATTGTTGAGAGCAAAGTTCTGGAAAAAAGAATTGGTGGGGAGAGGGGTGGTGAGGAGGTTTGCAGAGAAGAAGCTTGAAGGGTCAGGGAGAATTGTGGATTGGGTTGGAGGGAATTGGAATGGGGATGCTGACGAGGTGGTATGTGGAATTAGTGAAAGAGCTGAAACACATAGGATGAGAGCAAAAGAGAAAGCAGAAGTGAGGTTGTTGTTTGCCATTGCTCCTTATTGTCGTGGTGAAGTCTCTCTTCAATTAGCCTCATATTTATAGGTTTTTTCAAGATGTTCCTAGTTCTGTAAGTGTTTCTTTTTTCTGGGTTCCTATTGTAACTAGAGATTAGTGTTGTAGATCTTGATGGGTTCCTATTGTAACTGGGGATTTCTTTCCTAGTTAGATCTTGATCGGTTCCTATTGTAACTAGGGATTTCTTTCCTAGTGTTGTAATCTTGATATATTCCTCCTTATTGAAGGAGACTGATATATTCCTCCTATCGTTGACAGAGACACCGCCAGCCCACAAAAATTCAAACCCAACAAAGAATCGTATAACCCAATTTAATCAAAGAAAATTTACGAAAAGGAAGAAATTGAAGTGTTTAGCGTAAAGTGGGAAGTGCAAGCTGCGCAACGCAATTGAAATGTCGAATTGTTCGTTTGGTGGGTTTTATTATCAGAGACAATAATTCAATTATGTGACAAAGATTTTCAGGATTTTCGTGGGAACCAAACAGAAAGTAAAGGAATATGTTTTGAAGAGAGAAGCTAAAACAAAGGGAACGTACTTGGGGACAATTTGGAAAACGTAGTCATCTCCGAAATTTGTTTGGATAGAGTTTTTTAGCCCGAAACGCCTGAACGAGTTTGGATTAGACTCGGGTTGTTCCTCCACGTCCATGTCCGTAGCTTCCATCTCTCTGTCTGTGTCTCTCCGTCGTGCGAGGCGCTTCTATTTTGAGCCGGCTAAACAAAATTACAAACGCTCTTTTGGGTTTAGGGTTTTAGCTCCGCTATGGTAAAAGTCAACATTTAGTCAACCAATTTATGTCGACATATCCATAATCTAATTAACCCCCAAAGATCCTTTACCAATGATTCTATCTTCAAATTACCCATTTAAAAAGTAAATAAAAAAGAAAATTTGTTAACTAGTGATTTATCCTATGAACTTGTACCTAATTTTCGATTTACCTATATATATATATTTAGAAAATTAAGGATATGAATTTTGTTTTTTTTGCCAATTTCTCCCGTGCCGTCTAAATCCTCAACATTTCATCCAATTTGCCGTTAAATACGAAGACAAATTGATCATTTCTATGTTAAAATAAAATAAAATAATTTGAAATAATAATCAATAATGATAGAAATAAATTTTTTATTAAAAAAAACATAGTAGAGAGAATGTCATCCTCTGACCAACTCCACTTCCTATAAGAGCCACTCCAGCAGCAAGCCCAGCCCGAGGCTAGGGGAAAAAAAAAAAATTTGCGTTCCAGTGGAGCAGCCCAGGCCCGGGGGGGTGTGGGACCCACCAACCCGGGCTGGCTTGAAAGCAACTTCTACCCGAGGTCCAAAACACGGGGGGTGACGTCATGTGGCCGTCGACACGCAGTAATCAAATTTTTTTTACCGTTGGCGTGTGCATTGCACGCGCCAACAGTAAAAAAAATTTGAACCAATGTGCGCTGACGTCAGCACGACACAGGCCCAACAGCTGGAAGCCACGTGGCACGCCCCCAGCACTCCGATTTGATTCCACAGCCTTCATCCAATGGCTGGCGATTTTCCAACAATAAAATTATGAAAAAAAATCGAAATTTTTTTAAAAAAAATACTAAAAAATACTTTAAAATTCTGATTTTTTTCCCCTATAAATACCTATAAATACCCTTCACTTTCAACACCAATTCTCATACATTTTATTCTACTTCTACAATTACTCAACATTTTTTTCACTCTTCACTTAACATTTTCATCTCTTTCACCTTGTATTTTTATTTCTTATTTTTATGGCTTCTTCTATTAATTCTTAATGACTTGTATTGGATTTTTTTATTTAATAAACAAAGCATTCAATAAAAGACCATTTTATTCAACATATTCCATACATCAAACAAAACATAATTAAAATTAAAACAAAAACTACAAACAAGGCACAATAATAAATAAGAAAACAACAAAGCATTCAATTTGAATTTTGAAATTCATCCGAAATTTGAACCCAAAAATTTATCTGAATTTTGAATTTTAAAATTCATCCAAAATTTGAACCCAAAAATCTTATCCCGAAATTTTATCCAATTATGAATAGTCTTGACACCTAGGAACCCGTAAATCTTATCCGAAAATATTATCCAAATTAATTATTGAGGTAAAAAAAATTGTGAATAAAACAAAAAAATAAATAGTAACTGCCCTTAGCAAGGGCAACGGGTGGAAACACAAAATTCAGACTTGGAAACCAAAAATTAAAGCTGTCAAGGGCAACCACTATTCACGGGAATAGTGGCTGCCCTAGCTCCCCCCTTGCCATGGCTAAGGGCAATGAGACATTTTGGAAAAAGCAAAAGGAGAAAGAAAATTTTTAAAAGAAGCAAAAATGGACAAAAATGCCCTCATTTATTTTTAGATTTCCTAAGGAATCCAATACATTTGCATGTCTTTGATTTGAAAGTTGAGTGGTTTTTTTGTCTTTTTTGAAAAAGCTTTGGCTTTTTTCAAAAGTGAAATTTTTTTTATGTCTAAAACCTAAAAAACCTAAGGGCAAATGGGTGGAGTTGCTCTAAGCCTCAGACCAACCCCCTTCCAAAATCGAACACATCCAATACAACACCACCAAAACCACCACCATATATTTGAACAAAAAAAAAACCCATATGCACATATTTGAACACAAAAAAAATCCCAAATCTATTTGATCAAAAACCGCCCCCGAGGCAAAGGGGTTGTGGCGAGGTGGGTGATTTTGTGGGTGTCGGGGATGGACCTGGGGTTTAGGGGAAGAGAGAGAGAGAGTGTGCGTGATGGTTGTGGGGTGGTGGCTGTGGGAAGGTGAGCTGTTGAGAGGGAGAGGGAGGCTGCGATGGGTAGAAGGGTGGTCATGGGTTTGGGGGTGTGTTGCGAAAGGAGAGGCAGCGACTGTGGGGAGGGGAGATGGGTTGCAAATTAGTCTTGGGGTGAGTTGCAGGTGGGGAAGGGGTAGTCAAGTTGGGGGAGAAAAAAAGAGGTGGGGGTCTGTCGGTAGGATAGGTTTGTTTTGTTCCTTTTTCTTTAATTTTTTAATAATTTAACAGAAAATTGAATGAAATGTTAATGATTTAAACGACAAGGGGGAAATTAGGCGGGAAAAAAAATTCATATCCTTAATTTTTTAAGGCTTAATTATGTACATGCCCCCTGTGCTTTCCAACTTATCTCAGATTACCACCTGTGGTGGAAAACGTCTCAAAGTACCCCCCAACGTGCAAAAAACTGTCTCACGTTACCCTTTCCGTCAGTTTTTTTGAAGTTCCGTTACGAATGTTACTGTTCATCTCCCCCAAAATTCCAGAACAGTAGCCCCTCCCCTTTGTTACTGTTCATCGCTTATTTACCCTCCAAAACTCAGAAATTTCTCCTAACCAACACAACTAGTCGGTTTTTACCCAAAATCTCCATTGCTCGTTCGGGCGATTCCGAGCACCATTTTCTTCGATCCAGGTATGATTTTTCAACCTCTCGAGTTGTTCTTGCTGCTAGTTGTGTTGGTTAGGAGAAATTTCTGAGTTTTGGAGGGTAAATAAGCGATGAACAGTAACAAAGGGGAGGGGCTACTGTTCTGGAATTTTGGGGGAGATGAACAGTAACATTCGTAACGGAACTTCAAAAAAACTGACGGAAAGGGTAACGTGAGACAGTTTTTTGCACGTTGGGGGGTACTTTGAGACGTTTTCCACCACATGTGGTAATCTGAGATAAGTTGGAAAGCACAGGGGGCATGTACATAATTAAGCCATTTTTTTATAAAAAAAAGATATAAGGTAAATCAAAAGTTAAGTACAAATTCAAAAAGCAAATCACCAGTTAATCAATAAAAAAATTAATCAAATCTAATCTTTATCTTTTCTATTTTTATTAGATTATTTACTTATTTTTTATTTTTTAAAATTTCTCAGTCCATATGGATCCACCGATTGCCACATCGGCATTTTAATGGAGGGATTAACTAAAGCACTAACAAATGTATGAAAGTGTTCCAAAAATAAACATTAGGCATGAGAATGAGACCCGAAAAACTTCATGTATGAAAAGCTGAAACTCAGCAAACTTCAAGGTAGTAAACTTCATGACTAGGAATAAAACCCATAGTTCAGATCCACGAAACAAATAGCTAAAAGTACAACACCCTGAGCATTGCCAGTTCTGTAATCCAGAACTCATCATTTTGCTAACATCGAAGATAGAGCAGGATTGCTTAACGCGGTTAGATAAAAACCAGACACCTAGTAACTAAGGCAGAAGAAAAAAATCACTCCATAACCATGCAAGCTTTGGTTGACTGCTACGGTAACATGAAATTATGTGCTCCCTGCAGCTTCCTTTTTCTCTTCCTTCTTCTCTTCCGAAGGATCATCTCCAATCTCTTCTGCTTCGTGTTCTCCCGGCTTTGGCAATTCTAGGTCTGCAATAAAAGGAGTAGTCAAGATTACAGAGGTACCGAACAAGCGATGGTAGCTTAAGAAATCATTTTATTCTCTTTCATCCAACAAATGAACTTATCAAAAGTAATTTTATATGCACCTATAGCAGCTACATGGCCGCTCAAGAGGAAAAACATTACAGCAAGAACTTACCCAAACCTCAACTATACAAGCTAATGGGTCCTTTCATTTTTGCGGGGGTAGGGGTGGGGTTAATGAAGGTACCCAGCACATATATACAACATGAAAGTTGTGTTGTGAATTCTTGACCTACGCTTACTACAATATTGATCTTTACTCAGTTTGCCACTAAGGATTAAGCTAATTTGTCTTCTTACCTTCGTCACTATCATCAAAGTCACCCATTGCATCGTCGCCTCCCATACCACCAAATTTCTGCATAATCCAAGTAGAGTCAGAACAATGAATATATACGCATGAAAATAATTCAAAAAATGAAATCCCATAAGTTAGTATATACTAACCGAGAAATCCATCCCTCCCAAATCCAAGTCACTTGGACCTGATCCTGATCAGAACAAGAAGTGGTAATTTAGTAAAATACAAGAAGTATGCCAGCTTTGTCAAATTAAACAGTTCGAAGAAATGGAACAGCATATGCAAGATGTATACCAGTATCCTCGTCTTCATCCACCCATTTGTCCCAATCTACTTTGACATAATGGGGTGTCTTTCCATCTCCACGCAAAAGCTTCTTCCACCAAACTTTCTCTGCCTTCTCCAAGATACAGAAGATACTCCTCACTCCAACATTTATTTTGCTTTCCTATTATAAGGTTATAGGACAGAATAAGAATCCATATAAACGCAAGCATTTTGAAAGAATATCCAAGTATTTAAGATTAGATAAACAAATTATTACCTCCACATTAACCTTATCAAAAAGATCTAGTTTCAGTTCATAATGGTGATTCTCTGCACCGGCACTAGCAGAGAAACTAAAAACTCCATCAGGTTCAAGTTTAACCTTGGCGTCCTTTGCATCAGGCAAAAGCACAGTAATGAAAACCTTGTCCACCCTTTGGGCCCACTTCACCTCAGGATGACGACTGCCACAATTGAAGCATGTCAGCGCAAAATTAGTTTGAAATATGCATCATCAAGCCAATATCACCTAAAGAAAAACTAGAACAGAATTCTCTCCTATCTTCACAATCAATGGCTCAAAGGCTCAGGGTAAGTACATTTCAAATTGACGACCAAATTGTTTGCTTTTTATAAATTTGAGACCAAATATCAACAGAGTGACAAGGCAAACTCAAAGGGACAAATAACTATTCTCAAAACGGTGACGAAATTATGATCATAACATAGATAAATCACAGGCTTCAAT